CTCGCGGCGTCGTATGTGCCGGGTTTTGAGACCACGGGCTCCCCATTTTTTGTGGACTAGTCTATAGAGCTAATGTGAGAACAACAACAACAACAACGACAAGTCTAACAAAAAATAGCTGAAAAGAATGGAGGCGTTTCTCTGCTCTTCTTGTTCTCACGCCTTTGTATAGACCACACCATCTGCCGCCTCTTTGCCCTGTTTGCTCCGTTACTCCCATGCCCTGGTGCGCAGTGCCTGGTGTTGGTACGTTACCCTTTCATTTTTTCTTTCGGCGGGTGTGGGAAGCGTCCTCCTTTATTTTTTTGTTATTTTTGTTTTGTTTTTTTTTGATCGGTGTCCGAGGGCTCTTTTCTCGAACGGTCGGTGCGATACCTGTTCTTTTCTTTCGATCATTTTGTTTTCTTTGTCCNTGTCCGAGGGCTCTTTTCTCGAACAGTAGGTGCGATACCTGTTCTTTTCTTTCTTTCGATCATTTTGTTTTCTTTTTCCGAGTGGTTTGTATCCTATTTTTGTTTTTTGTTTTCTCGCGGCGTCGTATGTGCCGGGTTTTGAGACCACGGGCTCCCCATTTTTTGTGGACTATGGAGCTAATGTGAGAAACAACAACAACAACAACAACATTCCATGCGGAGAGATTAGACTTGAGCCATATTTGCAAGAGGTCCGCGCAACCCTACAGTCAGTCGAACAAACCAAGAGGCAACTGCGTGGACGGAGTTCGGGGCAGTCTCTTGCGCTCAGGACCAGCAGCCACGTGAGTGTTTCCAGCATCACAGCTGCGCCTCTTGTGATCTGACTCTCCTTCGTACCCGTAAAATACTGCACTGACGCACCATGCAGCCAACAACAGTCTAAATACGTAGAGTAAACCAGGGTATTAACGAACACCCCCCCTTTAACGAACACTTTTTTCAAATGCACGTCCCTCGGCGCACAATGCGCGGAGCCCCCCAATTTTTTTTTTGAAATCTTCAGCTTTCCGTTAGCTTTCGTTTGAGCACCTCCGCGTGTCGATCGGGTCAAGCACTCCCGAGATACAGCACAGCCCTCACCCACACCCCTTATGTGGGGCATCTTTGCCCTTTTCGGGGTCCTGCTGCTAAGCATGGGACGTAAGAGAGTAGACCCAGAGCAGGCCCAGAAGGCTGTAGATGCGGTACGCAGCGGTGAGATGTCGCTCCGCGTTGCTGCGAGGACCTACGGGTTACCGCTAGCCTCGCTGCACGACCGTGTGAAGAACAAGGTGGCCATAGATGCGAGGGTTGGTCCCGGGACTGTCCTGAGCAAGGAGGAGGAAGATTTCGTAGAAGACGTCTTGATCTACGCCTCCCGACACTTCTTGCTGTTGGGTCGGAGGGAGCTGAGAGACGCTGTGCGCAACATCTGCACCGACGGGCGCAAGGTGCCCTGGGACCCAGACAAGGGCCCTGGGGACAGCTGGCTTGAGGGGTTTATGGCGAGACACCCGGGTTTGTCGGAGCGAGCCACCCACATCTACGAAGCAAACCGGATTAACGAAGACGGCGAGCCTCGCCTTCAAGCTTTCTACAAAGCATGGGCGGAGTACCTGGAGGAGACCAAGCTCCCGCCGGAACGCATCCTCAACACGGATGAGACAAGTGAGTTAGGGCAAGGGTTGAGGTGTCAGTAGGTGTCATTGGGTGTCAGCGGTGTCAGTATCGACTGCTGTGGGTTCGTAGGCGAAGTACCAGCAGCACTGCGATGTGTCACAACAACGCGGAGTTCTGCTGCTGCAAAAAAAAAAGATCCAGCAGTTGTCCCGCATATCTTCCGAGCCGTTGCTGCTTGTCATGCGCGTAGCACACAACACGCCCGCATGTTTGCTGCTGGAGTCGGCTGAGGTTAGCATGTAACAGTCCCTGTGGTCATCTCAGTTGCACTCTGCCGCATGATTGCATGTGTACATCGTTTTCTGTTGTGATGCTACCGGCAACAGCGGGCGTGTGTTCTTGGTCTGCAAAATGCATGTGTGTTGCTGAACGACGCGCGAAGTGCAGACTAGTCTAGTCACGTCGAGACTTCAGTAGAACGCTTTGTTTTTGTAAACCCACCTACGTTTGGAGCTCAATGCAAACTGCCATGGGTGTGGGGTTATTGTTTCGCACCCAAAGTTTAAACGAATCCGACACTTGCCGCACAAAAAATGGCCTTCACCACTGCTGTGTGCCACCACCCGGAGCGAGCAGCACCCATGTGTGTTTGTACGCGCGTTTTTTGTGTGTCTAGTTTACTGATTGTTCAACTGTCTTTACCCCCGATGCGCGCGTGTTGTAGGTTCGACCCCTCAAGGTACAAAGTCGGGGAAGGCAATCGTCGCAAGAGGCACCAAGGTACCCGGCGCGAGGCGTTCCAATTCGCGAGAAAATACGACGGTGGTCGCCACCATCGGTGCCGACGGCCACACGTTCCACCCTACCATCATCTTCAAAGGCCAGCGTATGCAACCCGCTTGGATCCAGGACAACAACGGCGTCCCCGATGCGAAGTACACCGTCACGGAGTCATCCTTCATCCAGAGCCACGTCTTCCTGGACTACCTTCGAGACCTCCGCAAGCAGCTCGATGCGCGCGGCTTGCTGGGCAAAGCTGCCCTTGTGCTCGACGGCCACGCCTCACACACGACCTTCGACGCCATCAGCTTGGGCATCTCCCTGGACATGGACCTATTCCAGCTTCCATCCCACACATCGCACATCACCCAGCCCTTGGACGTCGGTACGTTCGGAACCTTCAAGATGGAGATCACCAAGGTGCTCACGGCCTACCCGCTAAAGAACGGGGGGAGGAGTCCGGTGAAGCGCGACATGGCTGGCGTGATTGTGGAGGCATGGGCAGGGAGCTTCACGCCTGAGAACAACAAGGCGGCGTTCAAAGGGTCGGGCTTGTGGCCGGTGAGCATGGAGAAAGCTATCAACAGACTACACAGCAAGAGGAAGCAACGGGACCATGACCGCCCTATTCGTGAAGACCTCGCCGTGGTTGCCTCTAAGGATCAACTCGAGCGAGACCTCGGCCGCGCTGCCCTCCTGGAGCTGAAAAGACACGGGCTGATGATCGAGGGGCTCCGTGTCAACACCGTGTTCCTTGGCGGGCTCACCCGCCTCACCAAGCGCACCAAGGCTTTCGCGACCGTTCGGGCGGGGGGGGGGAAGCCCGAAGGTGGTCTGCTGTCCGCCGAAGAACATCTTGCTCAGGCCAAGAAGGACCAAGAAGCGAAGCAGGCAGCTGAGGAAGCAAAGGCGGCACGCGCGGAGGCAAGGGCAACGAAGGAGGCCAACCAACAATCTGGAGCAGTTGGTGGGCGGGGCGGCGGGCAGGGCGGCGGGCGGGGCGGCGGGCGGGGCGGCGGGCGGGGCTTCGGGCGGGGCGGCGGGCGAGAGGGGGGGAGAGGTGGAGGGCGCGAGGGTGGGAGAGGTGGAGGGCGGAGCGGGGGGCGTGGCGAAGGACGGGGCGGGGAACAGGACGGAGGGCGGGGAGAGAGGAGCGTGAGGGTTGAGCTAAGCGGGACGCGGACGGCGATCAGGGGGCGCGGTGGCGGTGGGCGAGAGGGGCGTGGCAGAGGACAGGGTGGCCAGGACCGCACCACTGGTGCTCGTGGAGAGCAAATGGGGGCGGGAGGGCGGGGGGGGGACGAGGGGAGAGGTGCTCCCGTCCAAGGAGGAGCGGGACGGCCGAGAGGGGCGGCGGTTCCCTTGGTTCACCCGCCGCCGTCGGCGGCTCCCATTTCTTCCCGAGGACGGCAGCGGATCCCGACACCAATCGTTGATGTTTAGACCAGGGCAGATGCTTTGCGGTTGTTGTTGTTTTTCTGGGCTACTATTGTCTAGGCGGTGGATGAATTAGACTATACGAGTAAAGCAGAAGATTAGGTGGTTTGTGGGGGCATGTGGAGATGGTTAGGGTGCACCCCAGCAGCGCGGGGGGGGCGGGGGGGTTGATACCGGGAAACCCGGGGATATGGTAATTTTGTCCCCGGGCATGCATGTTTTTTTTTTTTTTTTGCAACAGCGTTTCTTGTGATAAAACAAACCTACACACCAAAGGGCGTCTTGTGGGAATGTAAGATGACTGTGAAAAAAGGGAAATGGCCTTGGGGTTCTTGCGGAGAATTATAGCGGTAGCGGCCGGGTCAAGGGGTGCCTGTTTGAACGGGCATTACATCACATGCGCGAAGTTTTTCGTCCTAATTTTTTTTTCTTGAGTCTGTATATGATCAGATTAGACCCACTGTGCAATAATCTCTTAGTTTTGGCTCTTTTCATGTGTGCAGCACCGCCGTACGGTCAAAAATGGGGTAAAATCCGTCCCCGATTTCAGGCGGAAAACCCGGGGATGTGAGGATTTTGCCCCCGGGCGTGGATCGATTCATTTTTTTTTTTCCTAAACGGATATATGTTGCGACAGACGTATCTCCACAAAAAATCAGATCATGAAACGCTTCAGAACGCACGAAAGCAGCTACAAAGCTAAAGTGTTCGTTAATTGGGGGGGGGGGGTGTTTTCCTGCATTTTCAGCTAAACAATGGAATGCACTGCATCAGCTCTATCTCGTTGACACGAACGATTTTTTTTTTTTTTTTCAGGGAGGTAGCCTATAATACAAGCTATCGTCCGGTACCCACAAATACATCATACTCCTCTTCATGCCCGAGAACGAGCTGTTGGCGCGAGGGGTGGCTTAAGCGTTCGTTAATTGGCCGGTTTACTCTAGACGATCTAGTCTAAGCACTTCAGTACAACATCACAGGATGCTGAGCAGAGGATGACGGCCACTTCAGTATTGGACCATCCTTCACAGAACAGCCTCTCCAACTTGTTGACAGGGTGTTGGGAAAGCCTCGCCCCCCACGCCCTCCCCCCCATTCGGTATGTCTTATTTTTCGAGCGAAGCGAGAGTGCTAATCTTGCCTGAGGAGAAAGCGCAATATAGTCTATTTCTTGTGGACTGCAGAGCTAAGACCAGTGCTTATGGGAACCAATCTCAATATTTTTTTTCAACCAATCTCGCTGAGCTGCGCTGAGGATAAAGGGGCACCGTGGGGAAAAGAACATTACTCGTGTACATGCCTATGGGGAAAAAATCACCAATCCCAAAAGAAGACGGGTAGGGGTGATTTCTAATTCAAAAAATGCAGCTACAGCTCCCCGCTGAAAGTCCCGCTGAGCCATCTCCGTTGTCGGACCACGACATGTCGACGCAAGATGACATCCAAGCCACCGCTGCACGGGAAATGGCACGGGAGGCTGCAATGCGCTTACGCCTGGCTGGAGATCGTAACAAGCTTGGAATCAAACTGACTGCCGATGTCCTGAGGGCATTCAAACTTGTGCTGATGGAGACGGGGGGGAAGATGCTGGGCCGGCGAGGTCAGGAGTCCTTCCAGGCTTGGCCGATATCGTACGCGGCGATCGTCACCAAGCAGAGCAAGCAGATGTCCGCGACTGAACGGGAGGAAGCGTGCACGAAAACCCTCGTGGAATTCGCTATTCCTCAGTTTATTGTGCTGTGCAAGGAGGCAGCCACCGTCCTGGGCCTGCCGTTGCCGTTAGACCTGGAGACGAAGATGTACCTCACAACCTTGGGATCAGGTATCTGTACACACTACCGTAGGAATCTCTCGGGCTCTTGTGTTTGTAGAGCATCAAGCGAGAGCTGCTTGCATTACGGCAGGGGCGTGGGGCGTACCGAGAGAAAACGATCGCAATTGGCACGTTTTGCCTTGGCTGGCGGGCGCTTCTGGCTGAGGTAACAGCAACGTAGGGAACCGTACGTATGTGCTACTACAGCCGTCATAGTACTGTTTTAGTTGCCGCTATGAATTATTGTCCTTCTCCACAACTCACGTTTCCCCTTGTCTACGTTAGGACGAAGTCGCGGCGAGCAAATATTGAAAAAGTACACAGAAATCGAAAATGTTTTTGGCTGGATCAATCCGTAGCAGGCCGTTCGCAGCCAAGATTGTTGCTCCGGATATCTCAGCCCAAACCCCGCAGCATCTCATGTCGGCATGCAGACACTAAATTTAATGTTGAGCGTGAGATACTTCAACTATAATAGTCCCCGCCATTGCGTTGCGTGCACACCACCAGACGTCAGGTCCATGTCGC